AGATTGAACCACGCCCCAACCCATGAAATCCAACAGTGTCATTGAACCGGGTGTCTCCCCACCGGCATTTTCTTCCTTTGAAGACCTATCCGGAGATGTTTCAACTGTAGCGTCTCCTAAATAGGGCCGTTTACAAGCTACATGTGATGGATTCTGAGTAGCAAAATCAGCATATAGTACATCTTCGATCCGCGACAAAACTGTGAACGCCAAGCTTTCTAGTATTCTTGAATAGCTCTCCAGAATAGCCTGTCCAACATCCTGTAAAGCCAAAGAACAAGCATATGCATAAGTTCATAAGCATGATCAAATACTTCATAAGTGATTCACTTATTTTTCTGCAGTATTTTGTGTGTAAAATGTGCACTAGTACTGGAAAAATCAAGGCATAAATTATGTCCTTACCGCGTTGTATTGGATTTTACTAATGTCGAGTGACGATTGAGGGATTCCAGGGAACCTCTGCTTGAGGAGGAGTAAGATTGTCTCTGCTCTCTCTTCAAAAAGTTCTCTCTTCTCCAAGCTCACTGCAGAGCCCCAACCCGATTTCCCATCTTTTTGGTTCATCTTTCTCTTCCATATCACCATGGAAGCCTCCATTTTGTTCTTGAGGTCTAGAATTTTGTGCTCTGATGATAAGTCCATGCTGCAAAGAAATTGGTCAGGATCAAAGAAATCAACTGTAATGCTCCGGTAAATTGAGTCACCAAGACTTGCCCTCCCATTCTGCACAAAATCGACAATATCACAACCCGGTTAGAGAACTCATCAAGTCTCATGTAATGTGACGCAGCAATGAGGATAGTTCCCTCTTTCTTTACCTTGGGGAGGGATTCAATGTAGTTTTCGGGGATCTCCATTTCTGTTAAAACTTGAGCATTGATGGCCATAGCTGCTTTAAGCACTTGGTTGACGCAATCTTTTTGATACTGTATGAACTTTCGTGCGGCATCCGATAAACCATTTGGTGGAACTTTAGGCGTAGGTAGCCACCATTTGTCATCTTTTCTCTTTGCAGTTCCTTTCTCTTTCTCATCAGCATCTTTGGATACATAATAGAACTCTTGCTTTTCTTGGAAGTTATCTAGACAATCCTGCTAATTATAAGTTTTGTTCCAGAAACATAATCCATTACCACGTAAAACATTGATCCGAGTCTCATTAAAGAGAGTTAAAAAGCGTTAACAAGACTTACAATAAGCATTGCATCGAGCTTACGCAGCGCAGGGATGTTCATGTGAAGATCTGTTCGTTGCCGAGTCACCATTATCTGTTAATTCAAAACACACATATTCTTAAGAAAATGTGAAACACGAGTGCATACGCGTATGTGACATGGAACGAAAGAGAACAGATTACCTCCATGTTAGTTCCATCCTTGCCCTTCTGTTGTGAAGGAACAAATTCAACTATGTAATCGCTGACACATAATAACCAATCTATTTCTTTTCTCCACCTCTTTTTCCTGTCGGCGGACATGGGTTCTAGGCGAGTTTGTTCCCCAAAAACAGAAGCTGCATTGCATTAGGAAAGTAATCGTGAGAGATATGCAATCTAGAAATCAAAAAAATCTGCTTCTCATTGCACTAATACAAACCATATTGATGGTATACATACCGGCAAGATTTGTAATAGCATTCGACAATGCCAACGCTGATGAAACGCCCTTACCTCCACCGGACATATCTTCACCCAGCAGCAATTTGGCGAACCTCTCCTTCATCTGTTCCATATCTGAATCAAAAACCCAACAAGCAAAAAATAATTAATAATTCAAGAAGAAAATGTATGCAGCAAAGTACAAGTCATATACGGCTGACAAATCATCACCTGTTTGCTGTTGCTTTTCTCTGGCTTCTCTAGCGGCGGCTTCCTCTTTGCTCAACCTTGATTTAGGGCCTTGAGCTCCATTACTACTTCTCGACGAAGCCTTCTTATCATCATCCTGAAATTCTAAGGCGGTAGCACTCTCGATGCTCAAGCTCTTTGCATGCCTTCCGGTATTCTCATACATTCCCTTGAAATGATACAATCTAGACTTGTAATCCTCTTCTTCTTCTTCGAGCGCCCGAACCATTCTCAGCTTTTTGGCGAAGACTTTTATAGAATGAACGACGGAGAACAAGGCATGACTGCTGTTCAACCTATTGGGAGGGCGAGGAGGGAGAGATGGATCTATTTTGTCGGTTACGCGATTTCTTGCCGGAGAGGGAAGAGAGCTTCCAAATCCAAATGACTTAGGAAACAAGACTTGTTAATCTTCTTGGTTTTTGTTGTTGATGTTGCTGTTGTTCTTGTTGTTTCTTCTTCTTTTATTTTTTCCTGAGAAAATGGTAAGTTTTGACAGAAATGTAGAGGTGAATGATTGGGATGATTTGATGGGTTAGTTAATTTCGTTTTCCTTTTTTGATATTTTTCAGTTGGGTTGGAGGAACGTGGGGTGCATGTTGTGAGAAATTAGGATGCAAAAACAAATGGTTTTTGATAATTTTTTTGTTTCTAGTTGTTTTGTTAATGTTGTTGTTTTGGGGAGGTTTAGTTTTTGGCTTTCTTGAGGAATGCATGAATTGGACGGTTGAGGTTTGGTGGTGGTCGCAGAGCAGCTAAGATCCCGGGAAAGACAGCGGTGCTTTTTCTAATTTACCACCTCCTCTCTCTCTTAAGTGGACGGTTCCGGTGGGTCAATAGCAGCTCCAGCTCCTCCCATAGAATATTCAATTTCATTAGGCCATCTCCGATGAGGAGGGCTAAAAGTTCAAATGCCAAAAAATAATCTGATTTGTCCAAAAACTCATTTTCAATTGATGATTGAGCCATAATTTTATGGAGCCCACTAGGCCATTATTTGGTCATAGGGGCATTAGGACATCTCCAACCGAAGAAGGGCCAATTGGCTATGTTTAGCCTTATAGCCTTGCATAAATTATATTTTAATGAACAGTATCAGACTATGTTTTATACCATCTCCAATCGAGGGAAATAAAGGGTCATAGGCCAAACATAGTCTTTTGACAAAAAATCATCTCTAACTGAGGGGGCTAAAAGGTCATAGACCAAACAAAATTTATTATTTTTATTAAATTAAACTACCATATTAAAATATGGTTTTCGGACATATTTTGAGTGTCACTTGTTACCAAATGAATAAGCCTACGAATTAATATGGTTAATTAAATCAAACACTTACTCCGTCGTAGTAATTGGCTTTCGCTTCAGGTCCAAGCCATTTCTTTCATTGCAAATGTGGGCATTTGAAAATTATTGAAAAAATTAAAGAAAAAATTATTGGAAGAGGTAAGAGAATAGAATGTGAAGAATTGAAATAAAATGAGGTAAGATAGTATGGAATGGTGTAGGAATGACTTAGGTATTTATAGGAAAAAAAATTTGTCCAAAAAAAAAAATTATTTAAATTCCAACGTCTGCATGATGCTAGCTAGCAACGGCTAGCTGACGTCAGGTTATTGTTGGAGTGCAAATGGGCTGGGTTGGAGGGCAGGCTGGTTAGCTGGAAATGGCTAGCCCTCTGGCCTGATTTGGGGGTTTTGGCATGGTGAGGCCCACAAGCCTTTTGAGCTAGCCCTTGGTTGAAGATAGTTTTCGTATCATTTGAAGCTATTTTTAGCCATTTGGCCCTTTAGCCGGGTCGGTTGGAGATGGCCTTAGGCTAGTCAAATGTAGCCCCCTCTTAACCTTTTTTTTTGGAGCCCAACTGATTAGTTGCAATAATTGATTCAAATTCAACGACTAAATTTGAAAACATTCAAAGGTAGTTTAATTAAATTGACCAATAAATTTAAATATAAACTTAAAACTTTAATTTAGGGAGCTATGTTTGGCCCCTTCGACTGGAGGTGGTATATAAGTATGGTCTGATACTGTTTATTTAAAAATAATTTTTTGAAGGGTTATAATTCTGGACAAGATTATATTTAGCCATTTCAATGGGAGATGGCCTTATAAGTAGGAGGGAAAGAGAAATATCATTCATTTGTGGTTGATTAACAGTTCTCCAATGCATTAACGGCCTACCTATCTAACAGCAAAGAGTCTTTTGGTTTTAAGAATGCAATAAAAATATATTAATTATGGTTGTCTGGTGGTATTTCTGTTTATTTAAAAGAAAAATATCATTTATTCGTGATTGATACTTGACGGTGTTGTTTTGCTTGATGTAAACATATTAACAACTGTGGACCCTTCAGCACGACAATGAACAATACAAGTTGGATTCCAAATTTTGATCCGCATTAAGAATTTATTAATTTAATCATGTAGGGATAGAGAGTGAGTTCAAAAATATCGAATAAGAATAAAAAAGCATACTGTAATTTGTTTTTCTTTAAAACAGTGAAATATAGTTTAATATTACGGTCTAGTAGTATTCATCTTACTTGTTAAAAACGAATTTAAACTACATTAATACCAACCTATTATGAGTAAACCATATCCCTCTCCTTAGTGTAGATCATATCATTTGTTCAAAAAAAAAAAAAACAAAAAAAAGTAGGATATTTCAAAGCCAACATGTTGAAACTTCCATTTGATCATGTTTAACAAACCATTCAAAGCCAACAGTTTTAATTTTGTTGTTTTAATCTACTCCAGGTCATCCTTAGCTGTATTTTCTGATTAGCAAAGTTACCATAAATATCCATATGATTATGTAAAGATTAGCAAAGCGATAAACAAAACCCTAATTTCAAAACTTTACGCATAAAAGTCAGCATGAAGCATACAAACTCACTACTATTTTACAAAATGTTTGGCAACTTCTTAATCATATTCATTGAGAAGCTAAGATGAATTTGCTTTTTTAGGTCTGGTTTATCCAAAAACTCATCTCCAACAGATGATTGAGCTATAATTCATCGATAAGCGATCATAATTACGAGTCCACAATCATTCATGTATCTGATCTAATAATTTTCTAAATGTAATCTTGTCTAGATTAAAGTTTGACTTGTATGGAGGATCTTCGAAAGAAAAGTCAACGAGTATGAAACATAAAATGGGAATCAAGAACAACTTAGAAGCACAAATGATTCACAAAAGATAGAAATACACAAAAGAAGGAAACAGTCATTTACATGGAAAGAGGCATAATAAACACCAAAAGCACCCTTTTAACAACATACAGTAATACAGATGACGGGTCTCAAACCCTTACTCACCGCTAGCAATTTGCTTAGTTCAATGGACAGCCATGGATTCTGATCCCAACGACAGCAAGCAATAACGTTAACACCGTTAACCCTAGAAGTCGAACGGCCATCCTGAATACCCCATCTGATTATTGTGTTCGCGCATAGTTGATGAACTACTTTCAGTTGTCGGGTCATGGCTAGAGCTGGGGCTGGAGCTGGAGCTAGAACTAGATGAGCGAAATGGCCACAAATAAGAGAGAGGATTTCGCCTTCCTTGGTTTTCTCTAGCACTCTCCCTTGCACTGGTGTTACTAGCAAAACTACTGCTTCTACTTCGACTACTTGTGGTATGACCACTTCCTGCTCCTGGTGAACCTTGTGGAGGGAGTTCTTGACGGCAAACAGGGCATGAGTTGTGTTGTACTAACCATGGTACAATACAATCTGTGTGGTATAGATGGTCACAAGGCATTTCCCTTGCTTCAGATCCCAACTCGAATTTGTCCTTGCAAACAGGGCAGTGCGCATCAGAACGGAGATGCCTGTTTGTGATCTTAACAGTAGGCATTGCATCAATTGAACCTCTGGAGGCTGGGGCAGGGCCTCGCCGGTCATTAGCTGAAAGCTGCTCAAATAGTTCTTCTAAGCCAGGACCTACAAAATAATCACGCACGTTACCCCGTGTCACGCCTATTCCAGGAGACCCATTGAAAAGAGCTTCAAAATTGCCGTTCCCAGACAATCGAAAAGGAATTTGGCCACCAATAATCAAGAGAGGAGCAAATGCCGGGTTGCGCTCAGGAACTAAATCTGATCTTGCCCTAATGCTATCATTACGCCTTCTGTCTGTCAATTGGTTTAACACTGAGAAAGCTTCCAAGAACCTCCTGTCATGATCATCATCATTGTCCAGTCCAAAGAAATCCATTGGGCTGACATGAACCATATCTTCAAGTTCTTGAATAAATCCTCCATTGCAGCCTGGGCAAACCGCGTCTCGCCCTCTCAGCCGAAATGGGTGCCTGCAATTGTAACACCAGTGGGTGTTTCGGCCACCCGACATCCTCTCCTCTTTTAGAAATTTATGGGTACAAACAAGTCTCGTCCCTGAACTCCTCAATATTTAAGCATCACCTGAGCATAGTGACATAGGAGATCGCAATTCAAGGTCAAGCCGCCTATTTCAAATTCAAAATCATTAAGATACAGTATGGACCCAAACAAGTTCGAAATTGGTGGTTCATATAAAGTACTTGAAACTGCATTCCGTACTGCTTACACAGGAATATAAGAACTTAGAACTCAGATTGTATAAGATATTTATGCACAAAATAAATAAAAAAATTGTTACAATTGGTTTCCAAAATCCAAATAGATAAACAAATAAACAAACTCCAATTTATTTCCTATAAGATTACAACAATTACCCAATTCAGATACTCCAAACCAAAATAGAATTCGAGTCGAATTGCATCCATCTATTTCAGGTTGATCATTGCTTGAGTAATTCCATATTAAACAAATAAACAAAATTTATAACCATGATCACATCAGCTCAACAAACAGTATCACTCAGATATAATCTTTTTGTAAAACAAAAACAAATATATTTAAACTTTCAATCCAATTTATTTCCTCTAAAATTACAGTTACCCAATTCAAATACTCAAAAATCGAATTCGAGGTCGAATCCAATCCATCCATTTCAGGATGATCATTGGTTGAATCTAAACAATCAGTAATTCCGTATTAAAAATACCATAATAGTCAGCTAAATTAAACCCAAGACCAGATTTTAATCAGCTCAAAAATCAGTAAATTCAAATTAAAAAAATAAAATATGAAAAAAAAACACTAGTCTTATTTTGCAGCAGGAAATTCAGAAACTTGAAACAACAAAGATAACACTAACTTCAGATTCATAAAACCATCAAAAATATTTCATACATACATACATATATATATATATATATGTATGTATAGTGCAAAAAGGAAAACCCTAACCTTGAGAAGGCGAAGGTATGCTCAAATATCTGAGACTGTTTCCGTATCGATGGTGCGACGAAATGAACGCTGTGTTTTCTCTCTCCTCTCCTCGCTCTCTCCCTGTCTAGTATCTTCCTTCAGATTGATCTTCTGTTACATCACACCCGTTAATTTGATCCTGCGGCTGGAATTGATCGCCTGTACTTGACAAAATAAAGACTTAGACAAGTCAAGTCAAATCTTAAACATTTATATGACATTTTAGTCCTCAAATTTTACATTAAACAACTATAAATGTATGCGATTAATAATAATATTTTAAAAATGTCGTATGAGGTTGTAATTGCACATAAACTTAAAAGTGCAAACTATAATTCACTCATTAAATTTTAATTTGGACTAGGGCTCAAGCCAATCCATCTACCCCACCCAATTTGGTTTTGTTATTTTTCTTCATAAACAAGTAAGTAAATGTTATATTTTATACGAATACTTATATCAAAAAAGAAATAATTAATGTTCATTGAACAATAATTGAGAACTTTTACCTTTGAAAAACAAAGAAATTTAGTAAGTTGTATAGCGTAAAATCAAATAAATTTTAAACAATCAATACTATGAACTATATAGTAAATTATGATAACAAATCAACTTGGAGAGGAATCTCTTTTAGAATTGACGTTGGAGTATTGCGAATGTAGATGTTCGCAGTTCAAAATATTGTGAAAATTCAACTTAGAGAGACGAAAGTAAAACCTCAAAAAATAGTGGGTGACGTAAGTGTAATTTGTGGTATATTATGTTCCACTTTGTAATTTGACTTTTTATCATGTCTAGTTCTGCAATTTGCCTCCACCCAACAAAACGTCATCATCTTACCTGTCCTCCCGCAGAGGCGCGGTACCCACCCACCCATCACTGCCACCCAGACCAGTCACTACCACCACTATCAGTTCACCAAATCCCAACCTCTCCAACCGTTTTGATATCTGGGGCACCCAAAAAACCCACAACCAATCAAATCCCACTCCAAATCCATCAATGGAGTCCGTCGGCGTCCTCATGCCAGTCCCAATGTCCCCGTACTTAGAGCAAGAGCTCGAGAGGCGCTTCAACCTCCTCAAGCTCTGGACCGCCCCTGAAAAAGCGGAGTTCCTCAAGGCCCACTCCGGCGCCATCCGAGCCGTCATCGGTAATGCTGGGAACGGAGCCGACGTCGGGCTCATCGAGGCGCTGCCGGAGCTGGAGATCATCGCCAGCTTCAGCGTCGGAATCGATAAGGTGGATTTGGACAAGTGTAGGGAAAAGGGTATTCGGGTCACGAACACGCCGGACGTTTTGACCGACGACGTGGCGGACCTTGCGATTGGGTTGGCGTTGGCTGTGTTGCGACGGCTCTGTGAGGCTGATGGGTATCTGAGGAGTGGGGGGTGGAAGAACGACGACTACAAGTTGACCACCAAGGTTTTGTTTTTTTACTGTTTTAGACATAATTTGAATTTGATATGTTTTTATAATTATTGCTTGTGGATTGACAACTAATTTCTTAAAATGTTTTAAGAGAATTGGAGATTGTGGTAAAGAAACCAATTGTTGAAGTAAAAAAGAGAGGAATAAGAAATGTGATATGGATATTGAAAAGTTGAAAGGGTGATTTTTTATATGACTTTACTGTTAAGATTCAAGAACATCATGACATGAGGTTGTGGATTTGATGTTCAACTTGTTGTGCAGTGGCAAGAGCTAGGTAGCGCCTGCATCTGCAGGTGAAAATTAGTTGTCGCTCGAAAAGCATTACTCACTCGAAGATGTCTCCAGTTGTTAGTCTTTATTGAAATCGACTTTGTAATAGTGATGCATTTAGGATGACACTGAGCCAGCTAAGGTAAAATGGGTGAGATTGTAGTCACTAGTCAGTGTACTGCAGGTCATCTGTTTTCGATTCTTGTCTGGACTGGTCCTTCTACCAATGCAGTGAGGCATTCTTGCTGGCGTTGTCGATTTCTTATTCTCTGAGTCTGTGTATGCACATCTTTTTCCTTTTTGGTTATGGAGTGTACCGCGTTTAGTTCATTGGTTGGAAAATTCTGACTCATTGGCTGCTTTATTCTTGGTCTTTGTGTATGTTGAAGCTTTGCTGTTTGCATAACTGAGGTTCTAAGTTTCAAATTTAACAATGATAGATTTGAAAATTGGTTTGGGAAGGCATAGTCTACTGTTGTTGTTCATTTTATGCATTCCAAGCTCCGTGTTTAACATGAGAGAATGCAGATTATTACTCTTGATTTGATTAAATTACTGAATTTCGTATAGATTGAACTAATGTAGTTCATTCTGAATTTTCAATTTAACATACTGCATTGTAAAACTGGTTTGCAAAGAAATTGTAAACTGTTGATGTGCTGCATTCAGCGTTGTTGCGCATTTAATGAAAGAAAATGCTATATATTTTCAATGGTAACTGGAGACGTTTTTCAACTAATCATGGCAGGATGCCCATGATGTGTTTATAGGGTGGTGTAAGTGCAGTAATTTTGTGACAGAAGTTAGATGCAGCTTTAATATGAAATGTTAAGTTGATAAAAAAAAAAAAAAAAAAAAAAAAAAAAAAAATTCAGCAGTAGTTTGTGTTTTCTTCCTGAAACAGAGTTATTTGTGAAGTTAGTAACTGCAAGCAAGTTACATGTCTGTCCTGAATCTGTTCTTCGTTATAATTTTAATAGTTTTTCTTTCATTTCAGTTCACTGGAAAAACAGTGGGCATCATTGGATTGGGAAGAATTGGAAAAGCAGTTGCCAAGAGAGCCGAGGCTTTTAGCTGTCCAATCGCATACTACTCCAGAACAGAAAAACCAGATTTAAAGTACAAATACTATCCAAGTGTTGTGGAGTTGGCCTCCAACTGTGATATCCTGGTTGTTGTATGCCCATTAACTCAAGAGACCCGCCACATTATTAATCGTGAAGTCATTGATGCTTTGGGTCCGATGGGTATTCTCATTAACATTGGAAGGGGTCCTCATGTTGATGAATCTGAGCTGGTATCTGCACTGCTAGAAGGCCGGTTAGGTGGTGCTGGGCTCGATGTTTATGAAAATGAACCAGATGTACCTGAGCAACTGTTTCAGCTCGAGAATGTGGTACTCTTACCTCATGTAGGAAGTGACACTGTGGAAACAGACACTGCTATGGCTGACCTTGTGATTGGGAATCTTGAGGCTCATTTTTTGAACAAGCCATTGTTGACGCCAGTGGTTTAACAGTTATGGTATCTAAAGGAAAAGTTTGTTGAAGGCAGCATCGTCTTGATCAGATACCATTAATCTTCTTCAATTAAGAACCGTTGTTCAAGCTCCAGTATGAGCCATATGTTGTTATTTATCAGTAGGGGGTGAGCTTAGCCTCACAATGAGTTAGCAATAATGTAGTTCAAATTCGTTTTTAGGCGAGAATCGAACCTAAGACCACTCACTTATAAGTAAAGAAGAATATCACTAGATTGTAGTATTAAATGACATTGAGGTGGCTACTTTAGATTGGTTATAAGATGGAGTTTTTGGTAGGACAACCCTAATATTAGGATGAGGGCAAAAGGTGCTCTTTCATTAGTTATAGTTTGCTTACTGTTGCAAGCTATACTTTAACGTGGCACATCATGGTTTATAGCTCTCTCCTTTTATATTTTATATTGAGGTTTTAAGGTGCTTGTGAGCACTTTTTGTGTAAAGGGAGATGAGAGGTGGTCTTTGATAGTGTATGACACCTTTTCCATGCATTTGCTTGATCACTACGCAGTAATAGATTAGGAGCAATATGCCCCATTATTTTACATCGCGCAAAAGAATAGGCTGCAAGTGGTGCATGCAATATGGTTCTCCCAGGGCAGCAGAAAGTGGGGGAAAAAGAAATAAAGAAAGTAGAAGAGTTAACACAGTGATTTAGGAGTGATCAAGGAGCTTGCTGAGTTTAGCTATTACGATAGTGACATGGATCTTTGTTTTAGTCTTGGAACCAAAGTAGGAGGTTTTTTGTGGAACTTATCATTATTGGGGTAGGTCTTGTTTAAACTTTGTGAAATATATGTTATACTTGGTATGTTTATAACTTATATAATCATTTGTATGAAACTTTGATATACTATTGTTATTTTCGATAATGTGCATATCGTGATAATGTTGATTATATGCAGAGATAATATTCATATGGCTGTTTGGTGAGAATCAAAGAAGTTGTAGCGATTTAAATTTTTTTCAGAAACTGGTGAGAATTTCCATTTTTCCGACGATTATGATGGTAAACGTCAGACGTCGCCGATGTCGGCAATCGGAGTGAAGGAAAAGACACGAAATATTTAGTTAGATTCCTAGAATATTCCTTAACAACGTCAACATATATTCTGTGATATTCTGTTAGTTAACGAAATATTTCGTCCGATGATAGTTAACGAAATATTTTGTATTAGGAAAAAATATTCCAACCGATTCTAACCATGCGTGGGGCACGTGGCCGCGCGTGCAATGGCGCACCGCGTGCTCACGACGACCAACGACGGGGCGTGGCGGCGGCTTAGGCCGAAAACCCAAAATGTCATTCTTAGCTAATTTTGATGCCCCGAATATTTTTAACGTAGTTTTATGGTTGCCCGCCACGTATATTTGCGTGGAGATCCGATCGTCGAATTGTCACAAAATTTTAGTATGTTGCTTTAGAAGCATAATAAGGCCTTAGGAAGTTACAGATCGAAAATTCAATGTGCGGATCTTTCGGATTGAATGACATGGAGTGTACACCGTACTGTTCACGTTTGACCGAGGGTTGATTTTTGGTCAACGTGTCTCGAATCCCTCTAGATTGTTGTAGTTGATTGTTCAAGCGAGATTTACGAGTTCTATCGAAAGAATTCTAAAACGAGACTTGTGATTTGCTCTATGCGATGATTGTGCGTGACTGTCTTGATATTTGTATTAGGAGCTGTTTTTTGGACTCCAAGTGAGTGACTTTAATGTACGTGATATGCTTGATTACCCATGAATCCCCATGTTAGTATCCTTGGTGGATATGGCATGGTTTTATAAATGTTTTTTTTATATTAAATTGCTAACCCATTGTCATGAGGAATTGTGCATCGAACCTTGTATTATGTCTTGTTTCATTAAGTCGTTTTGAATTATGTTCATTGGATTCTGATTGGTTCCGTGAAGTGGTCCCGAATTGAGTTTCACTAGGGTTTCGTTGGGCTGTTTAGTTCTTTGCTCCGTGTGGATTCCGTTGAGTGGTCCAGATCGTATCCTATTCGGATTCTGTTGAGTGATAAAGAATCCCTCATACTCTGTGATTCTGTTGAGCGGTCCAAAATCGTATCCTGTTCGGCTTCGATGAGTGGTCCAAAACTCGTTTTCAGTTGGACTTCGTTGAGTGGTCCAAAATTGCATCCCCTGTCTTCATTGGTTCGTTGATTCCCTGGATTCGGTCTAGAATGTGAAAGCTTAGGAGATGTAGGCTTCGGCTGAACTGAATCACTGTAGCCCTAATTTTCAGTGCATTTATTAATTGAATCACTTTAGCCCTAGATTTGAGAACCTTTTTGGTTTGATTTAGAAAGGCCGATGGATTTTTGGTGACTCATTCAGGATTTTCAATGTGTTTATGATTTTATGAATACTGTTTATAAATTGTGATTGATGGACTTGTTTTATGATTATCACATACGTCGGATTGTTGTCACTCGTACGAGCTTTGTAGCTTAACCGACTTATTGATTTGTTCGATGCACCATTCCCACAGTGTAGGGGCGATTATGCAGGTGATAGAGTTTAGTTGATATGAGGAGCTTTGGGGTAGCAGCCAGAGTTCAGAGAATGGAGTGCTTAGGTTACCTTTCTACATTTCCTTGTATTTCTTCTAGACTTTCTTTTGAGTGCCTACGGGCATGTAGCTTGTTGAACAATTGTTGTATTTGTGATAGAGACCCACCACATTACTTTTATTTGTAAATTTCAATATCATTATTCCTTTGTGTATTTCTTATTTGTATTCCTCGCACCTTTTACAGTAGCATCGTGTGTTTATCCTAGACGTTGGTTGAGATCGGGGCGTGACATTTTGTCCCTATTAAGTTGTGGTTTCGCTCACCATATACATTTTAGACCTTGTAGGTTCGGTACAAGATTAATGAAGGGTAGACGAATTGAGGTTATGTTAGACGAGAGATTTTAAGAATTTTATTTATTTTTATACACCTTGTAAGGATATTAGAGTTATTTGTATATGAGAAGTTCGTTTTTATTTTAAACTCTCACATTATTTATAAATGTTGTATTATTTTTCAAAAAATATTATTTAAAAAAAATAATATAAAGTATTATTTAATATTTATTTATATGATATATAATAAATTTACTTAAATTCGCCTAAACTCTCGCCTAACCGCCTAAGCGCTAGAATCCAGCTTGCTGCCGGATTAGCGCTTAGTCTCTCTCTCTCTCTCTCTCTCTCCACACACACAATTAAAAGAAACTAAAGATATTAAGCACACAATGCTATCGCCCAAGCAGTTGACAAAATGCCTTGTAAAAAACATTGAAAAAAAAAATTCTGGCAATTGTGCGCACTATTGTTGGATGCAACGGTGATTCTCTTGCAACCGTCACTACTTAGTTAGTTGTGTCATCGATGAATTAATTTTCTAACTTCGTCCCTGCTTCTATGTACCCAAATTTGAATCTTCATTCTTCTAATTTAAAGTAGATCAACGCTCATATAAATTTCTTGTTTTAAAGTTTCCATCTATTCCCCCATTTTCCATAGTAAAATGATTAAAACCTACCTATTTTTAAAATTATGCTATTCCAAACTACTAAAAATAAAAATATTTGTTACATAGTAATACGATTTATTGGTATCCTTCGTCACTTATAAATAAGAGGTCTTAAGTTCGATTTTCCCCAAAGGCAAATTTGAACCACATTATTGCTAGGCCCATATAAGATTAAGTTCATCTCTTCTCTCTTAGTGTACATAATATTGATTGAAAAAAAAAAAAAAAAAAAAAAGACAAAAATATTTGAATTTTATGACACCTCTTTTTTTTATTATATCGATATTATTACATTAAGAGGAATGAGAATTCGGTTAAGGCACACAATTGGTAGCTTAATTTGGTATTGAATTCGTCATCCACAAGATTCGAAACTAAGACCTTTCACTTCCAATTGAAGAAGAATACCATCAGACCATAGGTTATCTCCAACCGAGGGCTGGCTAGAGGGCTCGTTTTAGCCCTCTGACCCTCCAAGATATTAATATTTTAATGAATTGTACAGGGCCATATTTGCCTCCATTTACAACCGAAGGCCAAAGGGCTATAGGGCTCGTTTTAGCCTTGTCACAAAAAACCGTCTCCAACCGACAGCTATAGGGCCAAACGTAATTTATTATTTAAATTTAAAAACTACAACTTAAATTTAAAAAACTACAACTTAAATTTATGTTGTTGTAGGCATAATTTACTAAACAATTATGGAGGCCATAGAGAGAGGGAGAAAGTGCGGCATAGAGAGAGAAGAGAGTTGTGTAATTGTGAGGTGTGTGTTATTCCACCACATTGTGCCTTTATTTATAGTAGTAGGGAAGGTTAATTCCTTACCCTTTAGGATAACAACATTTAATAGGTAATCTACTCCTAATAGGAATATAAGATATAGTCTCATATCTACTAGGATTTACACAATCACATTCCTAATCTAATAGGACTGTAACACTCCACTTGAGTGTGTAAATACCCAAACAAATGGCGCATAAGGTCTTCAGCAATGAAGTAAGTACAGTTGATGAAGTTGTTGGTATAATGAACAAATGCAAGTCTCAGATCAACGGAAGAATGCATAAAAAGGTAAAACTCACAAAACCTCTCTATGGTAAAACCCAAGGTGGGAGAAAAACTCATAGACTAAGGAGAAAAGTGAGAAATTGCATTAAGTCAAAATTATACGTCTTTTGGATGCAAGTAGAAGAGCTCACAAAGGTATGATCAGCCTAGGATGGGTGCCTCGTTAAAACCTAGTTAGGTAGCAAAAACCCAGTGGGAAAAATGCTCCTAATCGTAGGGAAAAAGAGTACATTATGATCAAGTGAGTATACTTCTTGACACTCCCCTTGAGTTTGACATAACTTCCAAATAAGAACTATAAGCATTGCATATGATAGTTAAGCATACCAATTCCTCGGACAAGCTTTTGGAAGGTTGACTTCGGCAGTGACGTCGTGTAGAGGTCGGCAAGGTTGTCTGGGATTGGCTTGCATGATTTCAATCTCCTGATACTTTGCTGATGTAGAAGTGGACGCAATATGTATTGGTGTTGACGTCGTTGATGTATCATGTCTTGGTTGGGTAGATACATGCGGCATAGTCTTCATGGACCGTCATTGGGACTCAACGATGGATGAAGACACAACAAGTACTTTGACTATGCTCAACAAGAACTTCTAACCATGTCTCACTTGTGGTGTAGTGAAGTGAGATGAGTTTTGGAACGATTCGAAGATTTCACAACTAAGGACATATTGTTGGACCTTCAAGATATTGCGATATCCTTAACAGTAAAGAAATAACCATTTGGGGATTTTACCTTGTGCGGGTTTGATAAGTAACCAGCGTCAGCATAACAAACAAGGCAATCATTATTTCGAGGATCAGGGGGTCGGATCTGCTCGAGATGCGTCGGGATTTGATTTGCCCAAATTCGTAGTACCTTCAGGGTACGTCTTTAATACCAATTCAGTGGATGCGTGTAGGCGCGGTGCTTCCACTTTACCAAGATCAACAGCGAATGAGATATCCTGTCTAAATACAATGAGCTAAGTACAACGAATCGCAAAGTTGAACTCTGACATGGAATTTCGGATTCCATAACCTCTTCAAGGGTCTCATTTACATATAACATATAGACGATCAAAGGTATACTCAAAGGTGACACATTCGGGGTGTAGTTCGACTAGTAGACCAAGGTACCATCAGAACAACTTTTGAACTTTAGGTCAAGGCATGAACGAGTTTTTCTAAGATCCTTCATCTCAACTTCCATCTTCAGGTGCGAGGCAGTTTTCTCAAGCTCTTATGGAGTCTTAATGAGATTCGCGTCAACGACATAAATTGTA